TGCGTTGTAATGCTATTTTACTTTACCAAAATTTATTGTTATATTTGAACAAAATATATAAAACTGAATTTATTGTAATTTAAAATAGCGATCAAAATCTATGTAATATACAGTACTTGTAAATAACGTGGGGTTTTAAAATACTGTAATTCACTCAAATCTTTTGAGAGACAAATTGTTGTACAATTTGCTAATCAATGAAAATTGTAAAATTTTCTAACAGTGTAAATTTTCTCATGTGCCAGTTTTATCACAAAGAAACCATGAAATACTGAAATCTTTAATAATTCTACCAGTGAAAATGGTTCATAGTATGTAACTGTATTTGTAAGCATGATTTACATAAATGACTAATTTATAAACATAATTAGCATAAATAAATGTACATGTTTCAGTGTAAGTTTGGGACACTTAAATGTGAAACCCCATAAAAACTATTATTGTATAAAACAAACTTTTTCCCTATCAAGTGGATTGTGTTTTAGATGTTGGACTTCTGATATTTAAACTACATGTATGTGAAAATAATGCTTTTACAAAAGTATTGTATGACTCATGTTAATGTAAATATCGAGATTGTATTACTAAATTCTAACTTTCTTTTCAAAGCAGCTAAGTAAATAGTTCAAATAGAAGGTCTATTTAAAAATAACTAAAGAAAAATATGAATAATCTCCTTTGCGTTTTAAGCTATGTTTATTTCCAAATCATGGAAACACTATCTAAACCTTGCACATGTAACCGTGAGATACATTTCACTTTCAAAAACAAGAAAAACTACATTTTTTCTGAACAGGAAAAGAGGAATCATTTAAACTGTTTTTTTTAATTCTATTTTTAAATAATGTATGATGTATGTTTTTATTGAAAACACCTTATCTTAGTTGCTTCAATCACTGTTCACTAAGGGATGACTTATTTGTAATTCATGAGAAAAAACACACATCCAAGACGAGAAAATGGTTTGGTCCGAGTGTAAATATGTGGTCAAATGAGGTCATTTTCAGGACATGGACCTAGAGCACAAGTATCAATTTGTATTTAATGGTGAATGTAGTCTGACGCCATGATCAATATTAATCAATTAAGTTTCAGGGAGTGGGGTGGAAACTAAGTTTTTTATCCTACATTGAACTTTTGATGTTATCCCTAAGATTACTGAGATATCAAGTTGCCTGCATACAGTTTATGTACACTTATACATTTATGCATGTAAATGAAGTCATTGTTAAAACTGTTTAATTTCCCTGTGAGACCTGTTCATATTGTCATGTGGACTTCAATAGTTTGAAACTATTGTATATATTTATTAAATGTTGATGGCAGTGGCATTATTAAATATTTGTTTCCATCCTGCCAAGTGAAGTGTTTGTTTCTCTTGGTTTCTCACAATGATATTAGTGCCCAAGGCAGACAGACACTCCCACTTTCTATGTGAAATTAGGTCAAGCGATTGGACACACAAGCTTAACAATTAAATATGCAGTACAACTTTGTATGTTGGGTATTGCAATATCTACACGCTTTTTTGTTTTTTTAAAACTGGAGCCTTTAGTGAATTTTTGTTATTATTTATCGGAAATTTGTAAATATTCATATTGCATCACATTTGGCAAATAATAATTTAATCAAATTTAAAATGACATGTGTATAAATATGAAGGCAGGAAATTAAATTTGTTAAAGGGGAACTAAATAGAATCTAATTTGGTGTTTGTATTTATCAAGTTATGTATATTGATTATAAATAAAAAATAAAAATAAAAAAAATGATTATCTTCAGAGTTATGATGATTTAAATTACGTTAATATTATTTATCAACATACAAACATTGTGGATGTGCAATTGATTGAGACAGGCATTTTTTTTTGTCTAACTGTCTAATAAATGCTGTTTCCAGTACTGCACTGTGCGTGTAAATTATTATAAATTATTAAGTCTGGATGCTGGAGTATGCAATCTTGAGTTTGTAGGGTGGTGGTGAAAACATTTTCGTCCATGTATTCACGAGGCTTCACTGGCAAATCATGGGACAATTGTCACAGGAACACCAAGCAGATTGTTCACAGACTTCCGTGTAATTTGAAATAAAACTATCATCCCAACAAAAGGCATTGTCGACGATATACTCTCATCACTCACACTGGACTGATCTGAATCTTCACAGTATACCGTACTTCCCTGATCATAAGCCCGGAGGCATGAACATGTAAGGGAAAAGTAAGGAACAAGCTTATACTTGAGGACCAACTCAGAAAAGATTATTTTGTTTTGGGGTTAAACACTGTAATCATCTTGCAAACAACGAAAAATTATTCAAAAAAATTATTCGTTCACCATGCCGGGCTCGGAAAAATAATACTTATTTTTGAAAAAAAAAAATGCGTCATTGATTTCCATGACACTTACAATGAAGAAACAAACATGTTCATAAAAAAGTACACACATTTTATTACAATACGATTTACATACCATCTGAATTTATGGTGAAATAATGGGTAAGGTCTGTGGGAAAACAGTCAAAGGCATTTATCATTATTTTCGTTTTGGTATGTTTTCGATTGAACGCAAAATCTCGACGCAAAGCAATTTTTCACCATGAGGTTTTTCTGCACGATTTGACCTGAAACAACTTCCCTTGACCTAACAGGCCATGTCTTTCATTAACCAATCAAAATGATGTGTCGTAATGATGTAATCTTCCGATTATTGACGATGATTTCGTAACGCAATGCGGAAGTCACGGTGAATTACCGCAATGTTAAAATGCGTTCTGTAGCACTGATTGCAATGAAAAAACAATGATTTTTTCCCCTAAAAACTGGTGATTCGCAATTTCGGAAAAGTAAACGATGGTTAATAGTAACCGTGGGTAAACTGAGTGTGGAGGAAGAATTTAAACACCTTTCTCGGTCGCCAACATGTCACATTGTTCAAACCCTAGGCCTTTCATGATAGTCTCAAAGTAAACAGGGGCTGAGTAAACGATAGCCAATAACCAGGTACACGACTTAATGATCACATTTTTGGCTTTTCGAAATCTACTACTCAAAGAAATATGGATTACTCCAGTATTGCAACATCGGGGTTCATCCTGAGTAAATGACAGAATAGAAAGGATGCGAACCACGTTGTGTATGTTTGTCATGCACTCTGAAATTAATGCGAGTTTTTTCATAAAAGCACTGACCAAATTTCCATGCCAATCACGATTATTATGAAATGAAACACACTTTTTACATGCATATTTTAAAGAATAAAGTAAAAACACTCTTGGCTTACAATCGTGAATGCCCTCAACTCGATAAATACCTACTGGTAGTAAAAATAGAGGGATAAGCTTCATACTCGGGAGGGGCTTACGATCGGGGAAGTACGGTACTTTAACGCAATTGGGCTTCCAATCTCAGAATACTGTGGTTCAAAGACATAATGCTCTAACCCAAGTTCTGAAAAGCACTTTGTGCATATAAAAGTTTATACTAGTAGTACACAATGCTTTACAGTATGAACGGCCATGTACAATGGCGTATACGAATGCGATCAGATACTAAAACGTCATAGCTTTGAAAAGTACCCTGATGTTAAATATTGCAGGATACCGGTACATGAGATGTTTTGTATTTATTCACACGAAAATTCAAATGCATGACAACCAGAATCACTCAGTACCTTTTAACGTACATGTATATGCATTTTCAGCTTTGTCATGGATAAATATAATTTAACGGTTTGATACCTTGAATTTTAAAATGCAGGAAAAGTCTGAAATAGAAATTTCTATTAATATAATATGCATGTTATTTATACAATGTATCAAGTGTTATCCTCCAGACACATTGTTATCTTTGTCAGTACAAGTAGTCTCTCCTCAACATCATGGAAGGGGTGTTTCCTTTCAGCTGCTCTAAATACCATTCAAGTTACCACACACACACAGTTCATTGCAAATTGTTCATTGACCTCAAGTGTGGGCATATTTGGTTGGCGTATTCACCCAACATCAAAGAGTTTAGGAATTCATGTTTTATTCCTGTGGTCAGCTCAAGCTAAAAGTATGGCATAGACATTGGTTTGTTCATCCAGCATCAGAGAGATTGTGCATTTGAAAGCACACATGTCTGACTTAATTGTCAAATTCATACATTGTAGTTGGGGAAAATGGCCAGCATTCAGTCTGTGTATTCGTAAAACTGTTTCTTTTCTCTGCATGTTATAATTTAAATCACAATATTTTTGTTACACCTGTTGATGAATGAATCTTGCTGTATACGAGAAGTTAGTTTGTGAATCTGCTTACCGATAATAAATAAATAAAAATATATACTAGTTTATATATAAGTTTATATACTAGTACATTTTATAACTTGTGAAAAAAAAAATATTTCAAATGTACATTAGGTTAATTTTAAATATTTAAAGGGGGGGGGGGCTGTCAATCCTTGGGATTGCACTAAAGAGTTAAAAGACATCATATCGCAAACTGATAATATGTTATTTGTTTTTGAAATTATACTTTGATATGAGATTAGAGACTTTACTATATTTGTTACGCAAAATAAATAGTATACATCTCCGGCAGCTTATACAGAAAGCAGTGGGCGGGACACACACTTACATTCTAGTTTGGAGTTCTGAAACTATATGCATATCATTGTAATGACTTGACCCAGAGGTCAAAGGTTATAAGTTGTAATCAACAAGACTATGATCTGTTGTAGTCTATTGTATAGAGCAGTCTGTACAATCATAACAAACACTTCAGTAACGCATAGTAAAGGAATAAATTGACTTCCATATTTGCTGAACACGCATTCTGAACGTGATGGAGTCTCCTTTACAAACTTTTATTATTTACGATCACTAGACTGTTACAATTGTATAAAGAACAATAGACTTGCAATTGTAATTGATCTCTTTTGATCCATAACAAATAACAAAGAGTCATGAACTTTAAACAGGATTTCAACTTCATTCTTCCTTTAATATTCTATTTTCAGTCTTTGCTTAAATTATCGCAAGATTTCTACCACAAAAGAAAGTTTCCATCTGTACCTGACATCAAAGCTGATGACAGAAAAGATCACAGGTATTGTTTGTTTCCAATATCTAGTCTTTGGCTGCCTAATAAGGTTAATCGTTTATGAACTACAAGTGGATGTGCTAACGTCCTTACTGTATAAATATTTTGATATTCGATGTATAAGTAATGTATGTAGTAAAATACCAAAATTGTGATTATTGTATATTGAATATACATAGGACAGCATTGGAAGTATGGAAGGCCATTTTGGAAGAGACAGGAAAATGTGCAAAAGTGAAGCTAGCTTCTGCTGAGAAACTGAATTCACAGATTTCTGAAAATGTAAAAACTGTAAAAAATCAGAAAACCCAATTAAACAAGAAGGTAGGTTGTAGCATTTACTTCTATACCATACCATATATCATTGATATTGTCATACCATATCATATCATATATCATCATATATCATATATCATATCATATCATATCATATATCATCATATATCATATCATATCATATCATATTGTCTATTTATAATAGTTTAGTGCATAAATGGTGTGCATGAACTTTTTTCAACATATTATGAGGTATTACGAGGATACCTCAAAGTAAGCACAAAGACAGTACAATGGAAGTATCGGCTGGCACACAGTGGAGGTCGATGCGACGGCGTACTGTCTGAGTGCATACTTTGAGGTATTCTCGTAATAACCTTACTATTATACTTTCAAGGATACATCATGGAAATGCCGAAATCCCAAAAGTTAACAAAAGAATCAAAAGAATGGAGTCAAACCCTGGTGGCAGCCATGTTTGTTTTTAATATTAGAGGACGCTTACACACACAATCGTTCCATGTTTGGCAAAATACCGCAAAATTACAGTACGTTGTAACTTATGGCATCAACAGTGACAGATGTATAATAATATTCAATAATTACAGTCTCTGGATTCAGTACACGTATTCAGAGATATTACTGAGACTGGCTCCTCTAGAGTAATAAGTGATTCTACGGTATGTTCTCTATAACATTTTCATGCAAGTAATTTTGTTTTCAAGAAAATTCATTTTGAACAGGTTATAGGCACACTTAAAATAGAAACAAATTTATAATGTAAATCTAAATAGTCTTATGAGCAACATTGTGAAAGAAAATAATTTATTCACCAAATTTACAACGCTTCTGTTTGGATTGGCCATAAAGTTTTCTCATGCCAATGTTGATGTGTCAATGAAGAGTTGTAAATTTTGCAGGCAAAGCAAAATATTTTCATGGATTTCTTCACTTTGCAATCTTTTTTATAAAAACTTATTACTTTTTAATTCTGTCACTAATAGCAAGTTATTCTTTCTCATCCTTAAAAATGCAAACTTAACACAATAATCTTCTCTGTTCATCCACTTTTCTAAGTCTGAACATTTTTCTGCTCCTTTAGTACATTGATATTTTAAACACATATCACGAAGAAGTTGCAGCAACAATACGAGATTTCACGAAAGCTAAAAAGTCTTACATAGAAAATGAGACTGTTGCTAAGGATTTGAGAGAGAAAGCGACTGATGCTGAGAATAAGTAAGTTGCAAAATATTTCTCTTTATATATATCTGTTGGGGCACAGGTCAACATGTGTGTTTGTTAGCTAGTTAAATGCATAAGAATATGTATCAATACATTTCTACATTTAGATAGATTTATTTATCTAGTGTTATCTTTATAAACAGTTTAGATTATTCTAGTTTATTCATATTTCCTTATTAACTGAGGAAATTACCCTATTATTTCACTGTTAGATTGTTTACATGTGTTCGTACATTACGAGTTACCCCTATGAGCAATGGAATCGACCTCAAACATGCTAATTATTATGCAAGTGTTACCCATGATTCCTACTCACGATGGATATGGCCGTCATCAATGGAGTCCACATTTGAATTTAGTTCATAGTTTTTCAAGTTATTCTCCTATTTTCCCCTCATCAAGGGCATTCACAGTTTTAATACTGAAGTTTGTACTACTGCTGTAATTACTGGTTGAAATTTTCAGCATTCTACCCATGAATAAAGAAGTCATTACGACTTTCTTTTGAACTCTATCACTTGAGTCTGCTGTATGTTCTGTGGAGATTTATTAAACGTGGCGATTTATTCGAACCGAATTCCCACAGCCACAATATCAAGTATACCTCAATATTTTTTGCTTTAATTGTCAAACCATTGTTGTATTTGTTGTTGTGGTAGTATGAACCATAAAAGTACATATTTTTTTAGCTCCGCTGTCGAGCGGAGCTTATCATAGAGTGATTGTCCGCTGTCGTCCGTGTCAATGTTTTACTTTTTCGACTTCTTCTTGAAAACTACAAGCCTGAATGCTTTGATACTTGGTGTATATGTATCTTGGGTAGACCTCTCTTAGATTTGTTCATTTCATGATGATATCTTCAATTCTCTAATTTTGGTGAATATTTTTGGTAAAAGTGATATTTTTGATTTCTTGTTAAAAAACGCAAGTTCAATTGCTTTGATATTACATATAAAGGTACTACATGTGGACCTCTTTTAGATTTGTTTATTTCGTGGTGAAAAGTTATATTTCCGAATTTTTTGAACAGCAAGTCCCATTGCTTTGATACTATACATATTGTTCATTTTCTAATGATATCTTCTGATCATTATGTTATTTTTCTATAAATTAGAGAGAAAACTTTGTCAGATTACTTACCATGGGGATCAAATGGAAATGAATGCCATAGTACATGGTTTTATTTCTTTTAATATTCCTATTTTTCAGGTTGAAAAAGGGTAGTTTGAAAATCTTTCAGTCGAGGACTGCGTTAGAAAAAAATTGTGCCAAACTAGAAGCCAAACGGGATTTGTATAACAGACGATCTACATTTGCAAGGAATGAATATTTAATTAATATGGCTGCTGCAAATTGTCATCAAACGAGATTCTATCTAGTTGATTTTCCTAAACTTTTAGAGGTATGTTGTGAGTTTTTCCTGTACCATTAAAAATGAATACATTATAAAATATTAGATGGGAATTTTAAAAACAAATTGCCAACATTTTACAGTCACAATTTTTCATCTCTTTAAAAGATTGCGTTAACCCCCAATATTAACCCCCCCCAACTTTAGTATAAAAAGGAGTCTTATTTGTGTACAGAATATACTGCCAAGGGTAATATTAGTCATATTTTGATAATTTGAATTTTGTTTTTGAAGCAGATTTGGGGATTTTATATCTGAAAAAATAAAAGAATATATTTGATATTTGAGTGGTTAGACGTCCTCTACATATACTGTAAAATACTTAATTTTTGCTTGTAATTGGATGATTCAATGGAAATAAAATCCAGCAAATATACCTTTATTCCTATGTTTTAAATTCAACTCATCTAAAATCAGTGAAATTATGGCAAACTTCATGCAAAACACCCAAAAAAGTCTTTTTGATTTTTTGGTAAATCTGACAGTTTATTTCAACAGAGCTGTTATAAATACTTTTATAAAAATAAAATTTGTAAAATAAGATCCCACTGTGCCCATCTTAGCCTTAGCACAATATTAAGTATTTTGTTTCATTGCAGGCACTTGACAGCAATATTTATGATGCATTTAAGGGATATTTCCATGCTTTCTCCTCGAGAAGTAGCCACATCTACTTTTGTGCAGAATTCTTTTAATAAGGTGCTCTCTGACTCTACTACTGTAAGTATTCATATATAAAGAAAATATACGAGGTGTAGCGTGATTAGTGTCGTTTGTTTTTCTGATATCTGCCATAGTTTACTCTTCCTAATCAACTGCAGTTACCGTAATAGTCGTTTTGTCCACAGTGTTTTCTGTCCCAAATTGTTAGTATAATTCCAGCTTATTTGTAACATGATTTTGCCATGAATGCAAGGTTACAGTTTTATTGACATCAGCGTGTGTGTGTATCGTCATTTACCATTACGATAATTTGTTTGCAAACTCAAATATGTCTTATCAACTGGTCACTTCATACTACTTGTCTTTGGAAGATACTTCATAATCAGTCGTTGATTTCAAAGATATGGCATATATAATACTGTAAAATACTTTACTTTTGCTTGGAATTAATTTTCACTATTTACGCTGAAGGAATGATTCAGTTAAAATGAAATCCCGCGAATATACCCTTTTTCCTATATTTTACATTTAACTTATTAAAAATCAGTGGAAATAAATTCCATACAAAACACCTAAAAACTGTTTTCAGCGAAAATTAATTCCAGCGAAAATGAAGTAGTTCATCTCATCATAAGAATTGTGTTTGCTTTATATGCTAAATATTCATTTCACATATAATACATTTCATGTTTGTTACAGATATGTAGAGACTATGAAAAGCAGTGTTTTCTTCACGAGAACCCATCATTCACGGATGTACCACATTATATGTATGAGCCAGTTGACAACGACCAGGTAAGAAATCTAACTTTTAAACCAAAGCCCAGTTTGAGCATTATGGCGCCCTCAAGTGTCAGTAAGCTACACATCTTTTGTTTTTTATAGTCAAAAACATTGAATGAAGTACAATTTTTTGTTTTTTTTAGGTGAAGATTGTTGCGCTTGATCAAAGTTTGAGTTTACATTTTAACAAAGAAGCTAGGAAGTGGGCAACAAAAATTGCTAGAGAAAATAAAACAATTAATAGTCTAGAGAAGAAATTGGCAGGACTTCCCACGGTGATGTCATCTTCATCTTTAAAAGTAAGTATTAAAGGCACACTGCATTAAAGGCACAGTTACTATAAAATGTAATCTTTCTATTAATTGGATTGTTTTTTGGAGTTTTGATGAATTGTTAGAAGAATAATGATGTTTGTTTAGTTGATGGTAAATAAGTCAATGGTGGTTGTTTTATCAAAAATCAAATAATTGAATTACTGTAAAATACTTTATTTTCACTTGGAATTAATTTTCGCTATTTTCGCTGAAGGAATGATTCAGTGAAAATAAAATCCAGCGAATACTATTTTACATTCAACTTGTCAAAAATTAGTGAAAATAAATTCCATACAAAACACCCTAAAATTCTCTTCAGCGAAAATTAAGTCCAGCTAAAATAAAGTATTCTACAGTAATTAGAATAATAGAAGTTTTATAAAAAAGTATTGTACATGCAATATTAAATATGTAATGCATATTGTTTACAATGTCTCGTGTAACATTTAAGTCATGTGAGTGTTTCTTTTTACTTTCAGTCTTTGGAGTCTAATCCTGAAGCCAATGAGGCAGAACTGTGTCTAGAGCAAACCAAAAACCTGATTAGAAAGTCAGAAACTTCGAAATTGAAAGCTGAAGCTAAATTAGACTGTTTACGGTCAACACAAAGTAAGTTGTAACCTTTTCACTACCACTATTTATTTGCATATCCTTCCACGTCAAATTTTTTCATATTGTGGGACAACAAATTATTCCTCATATTATGGAAGAAGAGTTTATTTCTATCTGTTTAATCCTTTCATTATCGCCATTAAATTGACCTGTTGATAAAATGCACCCTCTCCCCACTTCCTTTCTTCCACAAACTAAGAAAGTATATGTTGTGATTTCAGTCGATGTGGATGAGTGGTTACAGAGTGCGCATGAAGCGGTGTCCTTGGAAGACGATACTGTGAGTCGGGCTGAAAGTCACTCGTCAACAAATTCTGGCGCTAGTAGTGGATTTGGTGCTGTAAGTATATGCTAGACTGTAATTACCGAACGTAACATTTCACTGTTCTAAAAAACACCATGTGACATCATTCTCGTCAGTGAAATGGTTAACCTAATGTCTTCTATTGCTCTAGAATGATGAAGATTTTGATATAACGTATGAGGATTCTTATGATGAGATACCTATGGGAAATGACAGTTTTGATGATACATATGACGAAGTGTCATCACCAAGGCAACAAACATTACACTATCCGGTGAAATGTACTGCACTCTATGATTACCAGGTCAGTACATACTTGCAGTATGATTGGTTTTTTCAGATCACATGGGTTCATTCGGAGAGCTGTGATTGGTCACATTATCAATTGATATTCTAATTGGTTTTGCTATGTCACATATTTATTGATTCATTTATTGCTAAATCTATTTTCTTGAAATTTGTATCTAAATTTTTTCTTAATTAAAAATGATCTAATCGGCACATCACATGATTTCATGAATATAATTATAACAGGCACAAAGGGAAGATGAGCTGAGCATTACACAGAATGAATCGCTAGAACTTATAGAAGAATCTGAGGGTGATGGATGGGTTAGGGTGAGTAGAAAAGCATTGAGAATAATCTTAAGTTTATATAAGTTTTTTGTTTATAGAAGTCTCACAGTGAATCTTATCCTATTAGAGGTGTTCAGTTTAGGGAACTGATCATTACCACCCAGCCGGTTTCCTGTGAGTTTGACTCGGTTTACCGTACCGGTCGTTGCTTTACCGTACCGGTCATTGCTTTACCGTACCGACCGTTGCGTTACCGTACCGGCCGGTGCTTTACTGTACCGGCTGGACAATTACCGTACTGATAGGACCAATACCGACTATTTATCACCTTCGATTAATGAATGCATGGTAAACAAAGCCCCGGTAACTGATCGGCGCCCTGCCGGTAACCGTGAGTCATACG